AAAGGACAACAACAACAACGCCGATAACACCACCAACACCAACACCAACAATAACCACGTCAGCATCAACATCGACAACAACACGGTTGCCGCCGCCGCCATCACCACCCCCCCCACCACCACCACCACCACCACCACAAGCAACAACAATAATAGTAGCGCCACTAGACCTCTTGTCGCTGACAACGCTAACCAGTCACAGGGTGAGAGCACGAGCGTGTTCAAGCAACTGTTTGCTACACTCGAGGCAGAACATCAGAAGCTACAGGGCTTGGAGCTGCGCCGGATCAAACTGACCGAGGAGATGAAGAATCTGCGTGAAATGCTGCAGCAGGAAAATCGTAGACTGCACAGCCAATCTCAGGAGCCGCCGACCAGCGTAGATGCCACACCGAGCAGCTCTACTGCTATCAAGAAGACGACGACAGGCAAGAAGTCGCCACGTAAGTGTAGATCACAGCTAACTCGACCTCTGACTTTCTGTACATCTGCTGCAATATGGCTAGGTCAAGTGGCTGCTGAAACGTCCGAAGGCTTTGCAGTAAGCACGCTGGAAAACTATGACGTTGAGAAGCCGCTGGTGCCGGTGCCACTGAGGCTTGAGGGCCTGCCACGCCCACAAACAGCCGAGCTGATCATCGAGCTGGTTGATTCCAACTCAGCTATCCGACAGCTGCAGACCATCGAATCGTCAGCTCTTTGGCACACACCTGTTACCTCCGTGGATCTGGAAACCTATCTAGAAATGTCGAACATATCCATTGCCCAATCAAGCACTGAGTCTGGAGGCGATCAAGACAGCACCGCAACTGATTGAGCGCATTAACAACAGCACAAGCTGTTAACAAGGCTAGACCAAAGCATGTGCTTAGTACGAATCATATACTATATACCTGGGCGAACCCATCGTAGAGTTTACGAACAAATTTTTAGTATTTCATGCATGTTTGACATTTGCTAAAAAGCCAAACTTATCAAGTTATCACATAAAAAAGATGCCAAGGAAGTTGACTGTGTATATGAGTTGGCAATTGGGAAGGACTTGAAAATTGTTTTCTCGAAATGGATGCTTGATCGAATCGCTTTCTACTTGAAGTTCTTGTGTAATCGATAGTTATCGATCCTGGCACGTGATTTTTACTTAGTTTTTCCCATGCCCCCATGCTCTGCCTGAAATTTCTTCTTCTTTCCTTCTCTTTATTCTTATTCTTCTCTTTCCCTTACTCCTCTTTTCTCGCTCTTTCTCTTTCTTTTTCGTCTCTCTCGCTATGTCTCTCTCTTTCCCTCTCTCCTGTTACTGTTCTGCATTTTGCTTCTAATTTGTATTCAATTTGTAAGCCTTTGTGTTTAGCCTTGTTTGGCTTTGGTCGACTTGCTGCTGCTGCTGCTGCTGCCGCCGTCGTCCATTTCCAAAACAAATTAGTTGCCAACTGTCCGAAACAAATGTTGCGCACAGTTGCGCCCCTCCCAGCGCTCGACTGGCGCCCACTCTCTGTCCTTTGTCCGATATATAAATACATAAAGATTCTATATATAGACGCAATCATACGAAGCTCAGCGTTTCAATCATAACGCTGCTGATGAGCTGGCTGAATACTGAAATGCCGCTGGGACAGCTGGACTTTCGGCTGCTGGCATATATATGCTTCTGGTGTGTGCGGGGCATGAGCTGGGCATATTGATTGGTAGCCTGTGGCCCGCTTCTCCAACTCCTTGTAGTTCGCTTCTTTTTTTTGTTTGCTGTTCGCTACTTCAGGCTTGGACGACTAGGTCAAGAGGTCAGGCCACATGTAGTGAAGGGGCCGCTTGGCAAATTTGTCAGTAGAAATGCGCTCCACTCGAGTGGGCGACGGGTGGCTGGGTGGCTACGTGGCAGGGCTTTGGCATTCCTTCATGTGCCATGCAAATTTCAGTGCACAAAACTTTGTTGCAACAGCCAGCCAGCCAGCCAGCCAGCCTTAGCCAGGCCAACAGCACAGGCTGCCATATTTCGCATATTTTGCAATATTTTTTTTTTATTTTTATTTTCTTGTTTTTTTTTCCCTGCCAGCGCAAATGCACTTGAAGTTTTGTCGTTGTTGCTATTGCTATTTATTGTTGTTGCAGCAGGAAGCCGGAAGCCGTAGCCGAACCCAAACAGAGCGCGGAACTTCTTGCAAGTAAACTAAACTAAACTAAACTCAAACCGAACCAGCGCTAGAGCTGGAACTGGAGCCGAGCGAAGCAAACAACTTTTGCCTGCAGCACCTGTCCCCAAAGGGGCCACTGGCGACGGTGTGCGAAGGGGGTGCGAAGGGGGTGCGAAGGGCAGGCCTAAACCAACAACGCCCACAGAAATTACTTATGTATATTATTGTTGTTGCTCTAAGGGATGGCAGCGGCGGCGGCGAGGTAGGGAAGGGGTCGGGGCACGTCGTGAAGTAGGTCATTAGGGGCGTTCTAGCTGTCCGCCCGCCGGGCTACTTGAATTATTAAATGTTTGTTCATAGAGAACATTTCCCAGGTCCTGCCAGTTGCAGCGACGTTGAAATGCTGAAAACTTTGCCCAAAAATAAAAAAAAAACCATGTGAATCAAAAACTCTCAACGGACTCTTAAATTCAGTTTGCTTTATACCCTGTAAATTGGAAGCAAGGCATATTGGATATTTCCATGTGGATTGCACTTGATTCAGTTTAGATCTCCCTCTATCTCCCTCTCTGTCTGCCTCTTACTAGCGTTGATTACTTAAGTTGCTACAGCATTATTCCCAGGATAACTTCTAGTCGAGCGTATGCTCGTTGCCGAACGCTTATTGAGCAGCAGCTGAACTCAATTGTACTCATATCTTACCAATAATTTTGCAAACTTTAATCGAAGCAAACTTACCTGTGGAAAGGAGAAGAGCACAAAGAAATATTATTAGCAATTAGTTAAAAAGGTAACTGAGGTTAGTGTTTGATATAAGATAATTACTCGGCATTTAATACTAACAATACCTGATCTCAACAGATGAGCAACAGATAACTTAAGCATAAATTTTCAAATATATAAAGTACTATTGAGAGGTTAATATGAACTGATAAAACTAGTGAAACTCCCTTACGGGGTATTTGCATACATGTCAGTTGAATACCTTAATATAGTCTGCCAGGTAATTGTCTTTTAGCTGGCAAAACATTCGACTTGGGGCTGACCAATCCATATGCATATGAGCCTGCTCTGCCTTGGCCACTTTTCGTATTGGAATTGTCCAATAAAAATTAATTGGAGTTTGCATTTAATAGAGCCTAGACCATTCCAATGCTAACAAAATAGCAACGGCTCTAGCATACGCACACGCAGAGCACAAAAAGTGCTAACCCAGTTCAGTTGGCCCAAAAAACGTGGCTTCTGGAGTGTCTTTCTCTCACTCTCCCACTCTCTCTCTCTCTGTCTCTATCTTTTCACTATAGCTGTAGCTGAGTGTGCTGTGCACAATGTATTCACTAGAGCATCATCATAGATGCATCCACTCAGTCGTTGTTATATTGTTGCCAACACCCAACTTCCAACTCCTCGGTTCGTTCTATCTCTCTCTCTCTTTCTTTCTCTACTCGCCGTTGCTCATAAAACTCACTCAAGTAAAAGTACGAATGGTTTTCGATATGAAATGCATGAAACTGACAGCCAAACATATTGCGCCGCATTTTTACCATATAACAACTGCAGCCGGGGGAGTCTCCTCCAATTTCCACCCCCTCCCCACTTCAACCCCCTTTACAGCTTCTACCCCCAGGCCGCTGCTCGGCAACATGTTGCCTGTCTGACTGACTGTTGGTTACCATTTGGCCATTGCCTACCTCGTGCTCTCTTCTTTACGCTGTGCACATTTCGTTTTTGATATGCGAGATATGAGCCTGAGCGCTATTCCTACCGAGCTCCTACCCCCGCCTCCACCCACAAGCCCGCTCATAGCTGCGGACTGGGGCTATTTGGCATTGTTGAAGCTTGTTTTATGAAAAGGAATATACACAATATCCATATGCGACACACGCGCACCACCCACGCCCACACCCACATTTACGTGATATGCAGTTAACCCACTCAACCAAATCCCAACGCCCCGCCCGCGCCCCACCCACTACCCCAGCCTTATCATATCAAAATGCATATTGTACACTCGACAAGATACTCGCGCGCATTATATGAAACGTTCCTCTCCCTCTCTCTTCCTCTCGCTCTCTTAATATGCAACTAGGCAACTCGACGAATGCTTGGTGGGGATGTGGGTGGTTGTGTGGTGCAGTGACTGGCATCTTGTGCGCCACTTCTACCAGGTCAGCCTTTTATATTGTATGCTTAAGAATGGGCATTAAGTTAAGTGGATGTATTCATATTAGCTGTTAACTAGGCTATGAGCTCTTCTAGCTTTGCTCGCTCTTAAAGCCAACTTGTTGCTGAATACTGTTTGACGTTAGCTGGGTTAACCAACACTGTTATCGATAATTCACAAACATACAGAAGCGACTCGATTAAATTAGATTCAAGTTACAGAAGTTTGCGAAAAGTTTATACAAACTTTATTGCAATAAAAAGTAGGGAAATCGAACTTATTGGCGGACACAGAGTATTTCATCGATAGCAATCGATAAATTTCACATATAAGAACAATGGTCATATATAAAAAAGTTGCATATGTTAAGTAAAACTAAAGTTGAATTAAAATTGTATATGAAAGAGCCCATAGACTCAACCCAGTTTCCTTAATTATCGTTATCGATACGTTTATCGATATACTATTTACGCATATTTGACAGACATATTCATGGAATAACTTAATGTATACCGCAAAGAGACGTAGCAAATAGTAAATATAATGTTATCGTTATCGATAAGTCTATCGATACACTTAATATGTATATTTAACTGCCTGTCGGCATATTAATTACATAACTTAATTTAACTTAAATCTTTTAGTTTTTCTTTTTAGTAATTGCCTATCGATTAAGTTATCGATATACATATATTGGCGATATTTACCTGCTCGAATGGTTCGGCTCATGCGCAAAGGGCTCGGCATAAATATTACGCACCGGTGGCACGCGTCGCGGCAATGGAGGCGGCACTGGATTATAGCCATCCATAATTGTATCACAATCGGAGTACTTCATCGATTTCATAGTCATTTTGGTATCGAGTACGTCAAGAGTGGAGTACTTGAATCGTAGTTCGTTCGTTACACTTTTTTATGTCTGTTCGTTATATATTTTGTTTACGTAATTTATGATAATTTCACTTGAGTGCGATTTTATGATTACCGTAATTATTATTGGCCACGTTTGCAGTTCATTTAGCAAAGAATTTCCTTGATGTTGTTGTTGTTTCGGCTATGCGGCTAATAGAGTTCGCTTTCTCGCTCTTCGTTTAGAGCGCGCCCCCGAACTGCTGCACGGCTACACGGCTGGCCAGGGGGCGAGGGTTGCTCAAAACGTTGGCCCTTGGGCGGCGGTGGCGGGGCACTGGCATCGCAGCCGCCGATTGGGCTTTTAATTGAATGCAAATATTCATTTACCTGCAATGCACGCTGTCTCTTTCACTCGCACACGCAGACTCAGATGCACACGCACACGGACACTCGCTCGGTCGCTCGCTCACGCTTTGTTTATGGCCTTCACATATTTTATGTGGCACTTGCAACAACAACACTGACAAAGCCGCGAACAACAGCAACCGCGTGTTGCCACAATGTGTTTACCTCGCTGCTACTTTCGATATTGGCCTGCGGAAAAGGATTAGAGGAAAATTTATATATACATTAAATAGAGCTGTCAAACAGTTGGCAACTTTGTGACCAAATTCCATTTGCGCTTCACGTTTCAATTCCGCTTCGTTTCGTTTCACGGCCGCTTTAACGCATTCTCGACAAATTTATCGATGGCTTTGCAGCGAGTCAACACACAAAAGTTCTTGCATTGAATGAACACTCGCATACAATGGCCAAGTAAATGGCATCTCAAGAAATGAACTAGTTCCAAATCAGTAACTGGAACTATTTGTTAACTGTAACTATTTTGTTTGTGTCGTTTTTTTTTATTTATCGATTATATATTAACACTTCGCATTCTCTCTTTGAGCAAATACAATTTTTAAGTGGAACTAGTTCACTAATGAACTTGTACTTGATCAAACACTGAATAAAGATTATTTAATAAATTAGATTAGAACTTTTCGCATTCTAATTTTGAGCAAAAATACAAATTTTAATTGGAACTAGTTCACAAATAAACGTATTGTTTATCTGCTGGTTCTTTTAGTTCATCTCATGATCTGCATAACATGCATCACTCTGTGCTAAGCTTGATTTAGATGTCAAACATAGCCAGACTTAGCCTCAATGTAACCTAACCTCACATAAGATCAACTAAACTCCCATTATCTTTATCTCTACATCGAACTCAAAGCAAAATTCGAGTTATGATTCAATTTAAGTATAGTTTCAATGGACTCTTTCATGTCGGTACCGGTTCAGAGCTGGAGCCAACTCTTCCATTTATGTTCGAGCTATCTAAAAATCGATACATCCCGATGGCAAATGCATCAATTAACGCAGCTAGTTCAACTGCAAATGCCAAAAGAATGGAAAATACCTTATGCGCCAGTAAAGATTCCCAAAATGGGATTATCTACCACTTGTCCAAATGCTGCCACAAAACACACACACACGCACACACACAGATGGCGAGCGAGAGAGATGAAGCAGTTAGATTAGAGGGAGCGAGAGCCACACACACACAAACACTTATTTCCGGCTATTTTGCGGAATGCAGCTATGTGAAATAATTTCGAGTATCGATTTTAATTTTTCGTTCTCAAACGCAGCTCGATTCGAAATCATCGTTTGGCTTGGCCTCCACCGCCCCAGAAAGCAAGCCCCAAAGAATAAAGTAAATCCGCAGCAAATGGACGCATAAAATTTTGGGTGTGTGTGCCACGCCCACCTGCGCCTTGACTGCACAAACAATCACAATAAGTGTGTGCACCCGTATTTGTATCTGTAGCTCCAGAGTCGTATTTGTATCGGCATCTGTAAATGTATCTATAGCTATAGCTGTAGCTGTAGCTCGAGCTGTGTTGCCTGTATCTATATGCCAAGTTAGCAACTCGCTTCTAGCCGTTTGCCCAACATATTTGTTACACTTGCTGCTGCTACTGCTGCTGCTGCTGCTGCTGGCATTCGGCCTGCCTGCGAGCTGTTGTTGTTCTGTGTATCTGACGCTTGTATCTCTCTAATCACAAAATCCCACCCATGATGTACAACAACAGCAACACCAATATTCAAAGTCATCGTGTAATATTGAAAAAAAAGCAAAGCGAGAGAGAGTGAGAGAGGGAGTGGGAGGGAGATGCAGAGGGGGAGCGGCAGCCAAAGGATGAGGCGAAGGGGCTGGCAGTTGTTGTGGCCAGACGTAACGAAAGCCATTGCCAAACAATTTCAAATCTAATCCGTTATTGTGGTCGAAAAAAGCTTGCAGTGTGAGTGTGTGTGAGTGTGCAAGATACATTCGAAACGGCGTGGCGCACATCTAGAGGATTTTCATTTCAAATTAAATTTATGAGATGGCAGAAAAATTGAATTACAAAACGTGGCGCGAAGCCACCGGTCGCGCCGGCCGACAAAACCGAGTAGCTCTTGTGCTGTTGCGCGCGCGACACCTCAAATGAACCGCAAGTTATGGATACAAGACGCAAGATACAAATACATCCGCTAGATGCACACGCAGTGGACCGCAAAACAGCACTAAATGTGTATCGAACGCAGCTATGCAACTAATTTTCCATTAATCAAAGGCACACAGAGGGCGGCCGGCTGGCTGACCAATGTGGGCGTGCCACATTAATTAACACGCACAAACAGACATACGCACACATGCACACGTCATGAGCTTGCATATTCGCATCGCCACCACTTGCCACAGCTAACTAACAGATACAAGATACATTTGTATCTTTCGGCCTGTACGCTCAGCGTGTCGCTTAACCATCAGCGGCACTAACGAAAATAATTTCACGTTCATTAAAGCCAACAAAAGCAAACGGCGAAGCGTCATTTCTCATCGATTCGTTTGTGTCGATTCTTGCAAGGCGCCTCAAAATATTTCAACACGCGTCAACAGCTACGCCAGTCATTTCTGTCATGGTAATCAGCTAATTGCCCAGCGACGACAGCGAAGACAGCGTCTTCCAGCAGCGCCAGCATCGCCAGCATTGCCAAAATTGTTACGAATTCATTGACAAGTGGCAAAAAGGAATTAAATTAATTGGAATTTTGACATTTACCAGAACAATTTGACAACGGCTATCGAAATTTTACAGCTCAAACTGCTGATGTTATAATTGCTCAACTTTGCTCAACCGCAGATATAGCCAGCTCAACTGGCTTGAGCTCTCCTCTCCCTCTTACTCTGTCTTCCCAGCATTTGATATCTCACTTTTCCTTTTATAATTTAATCTATATTATTCCAAGAAGCTCTTCGTGTTGTCGCTCACAATTGTGGCTCTTGCATTAGCGTTTTGAGTGCGTCAACATTCCAGCTGAACTGCAACTGGCATCTCGAGCTGCCTCTGTGCAGTTCCTGTCCTGTTCATTTTTGGGCCCAGGCATATCTAAAGATTTAGTGGCCACAAACACGAAACGCTGGCCCGGCGTCTTAACTTGGCTAACAACGCTAAGCTAGTCATGACCATACCCCATAGCATGCCCAGGCCCGCCTCTGCTCGGCAAGCTGTCATTAATCTCTGCCTGCGCTGGCTACCAGTTCGCTGCACTCAGCCAAACAACCTACGCAAAAAATGCAGCGCGAAAAGAAGGCATGCCTCAAGTCCGGCTGATAGCTGAGCAAAGAAGCAAAGAAGCAGCGAGGCAGCGAGGCAGCAGTCGCAGCCGCAGCCGCAGCACTTGGCCTGGCAGTTGATGCTGCATCGTTTGTTGTTCAGCTGAGCTGCTCCTTAAATTTTGTTTTGTAGTGCAAATCATGTTCACGCCCCCCGCCTGCCTCCCGAAAAAAAAAAAAACAAAAAACAACAACAAGCCACAACAACCAGAAGAGAAAGAAGAAGCAGAAGATGAAAATATGTTGCCAAATGCTACCAAACGAGTTCGAAGCAGGTTTATGTTTGTCTCATACCCTGTAAACTACTGGACAAGCTGGGCATGCCAAACAGACATCGCTTAGAGTAAAAAAGGCTCTTATAACTAATGATTCCCAAGTAAAGCTACACAGGCTGAGGCAACAGCTCAACACTTCTGGATGAGGTACATCAATCTCAGTTCATTCATTCCACTTTCATTAAACACTTCACTCTCTACAGGGTAACTCTGTGGCTGCTTTAAGCTTCTTGCTGCTGCTGCTGCTTCTTCTTCTTATATTTTGGCCAAGCCAGTTTTAGGCTGAGGCTTGAAACTGGTTTCCATTGCCAGCGCGTTGCGACTAGCGAATCCCTTCAACCGCCGCCTCGATCTCCGCCCAGCTGAGCCAGTTGCTGCCCCACGCCTCGCTCTGTTGCAAAGGCAATTAAAATTCGATTCTTATAATATTTATGAACATTTACGAAAATAAAACAATTAAATGACGTTCAAATGCTGATTGTTTATAAATAAATTGCTGTTTAATGAACGGGCCACTGTCGTGTGTGTGGCTAGCGTGGGAGGGGGTGGCATGCAACACATTTCCTTGCCGCACATTTGCCACAAATGTCAAAAATAATCATCACGAGCAACACGGCATTTCATTTGACAACATACGCGGGCCCCAGCCTACTCAGCCCCCCGCTCTATGCCACCAACTCCCAAGCTCAACATAAACGCCCCACTTCTCAGCTGCCATTTGGCGATCCCCCCACACTCTATCTCGCTTCTTGCCCTCAGCCACGCCCAGCAAGACAAACCAAAGGGTTACCCAAAACATTTTTATGTGTGGATTTTATTTTTTGAGCCGTCTGCTTGTTATTGCTTCCAGCGAGCGTCGAGCGGGACGAGGGGGCTCAACATTTTTCGGAAAAAATGTTTTCAGTTTTTATGAGTGGGAAGTGCGTGCCGGTCGGCGCTCAGCGAACTGCAGCTGAAGCTGCCGAAGATCTTGGGGTCTCCCCTTGCTTGCTTTTCGTTCAGTTCATATAAAATATGTTTTTCCAATTAGCGTTTATTTGGTTTTTCATTTTCTGTTTTATGTTATGCCTGATAAACAACGGCAACAACAACAAGAACAACAATTAAACCAGCAGCAGACGCTGCCTAACGGCCCAAAGCAACAAAAACAAACTGTGAACTGTTCCAACGAAAGTGTCGTCGAAGTTCATACTGTGGCATGTGGCTGGGGCAGCGCCAGAGGGAGGGCGAAGGAGAGAGAGAGACGGAGAGTGGCGCACAACAAGCAGCTGCATTGATTTGAGGCCAGCTAATTGGCCAGAAGAAGCTGTGAAAAATGTGATTTGAATATCAAGAAGAAGAAGATGAAGTAGAAGAAGAGGAGGAGAATCAAGAAAACCTGTTCAAAATGAATCGAATTCTTAGAATACTGTCAGATCGTATCGTATCTGACCCATATGAAATAGATCAGCAGATAATATCTTACATAACTCTAGAGCTTTGAATCTGAAGTTTGTCTATTGTAACTTAACTGTTCACAATTGAAAGTCTTCTTGTAAGTTCAAGGCAGATCGTGCCAAATGTAGCTAGAATCGAGATCTACAAATCATATATAAACTTTTTAATGATGATCT